CTCAAATAATATTTACAAAATGTGTTTGAAGATACTTTGGGAAATTTAAACACGAGAAAGTTTGAGTCTCATAAGGTAAACAAAAAAACAACAAGAGAGATACCGCTATTAGCTTACACAACAACAGAGATACCGCTATTAGCTTACACAACAACAGAGATACCGCTATTAGCTTACATGTTATCAGCGATATCGAAGAGTATTTGCCCCCCAGTGACACAGCGTCACGTCTGTGGACTTACAACGCTATAAACCGGGTTTCGATACCAGTGGTAGGCAGAGCACGGATAGCCCATTGTGTAGCTTTGTGCTTAATTACAAACAAACAAATAAGTCTAGGTTCATTTGTTAACGAATCAACTTTAATTACAGGTGGCGGGTTTGTAAGGTATATTGCTTAAACGTGATAATTATTTTTTTTTATAAAAAAATAGAAATATAGAGAATAAAACATATAACTTAAATACGTATAACTTAAAAATTAATAAAATGTTAGTTTAAAAAAAACTCAAAATGTATCAGTACAATAATTTGCTACTCTATCAATACCTTTTTTAAGTATTTTGAGAAAACAAAAACTTCCAGACTAAAAATTTATACAAGTATTTACCACTACTAATATTTCAAAGATATATTAAACCACATTTAATCAAAGTTAATTGCAGAAGTGACCAATATAGACTTTGTAATAGACACCAATAAAAAGATTATTTAAAACAAATTAACGGATTAAAATGTAAATTTACGGAAAAGAATAAAAAACAAAAATAAAAGCAAGAGTTGGAAACGATACTTCACAAATGTTAATAAAATTATAGGCCTATTGGGAAGTTGACCTTGTTAAAAAAATTAACGCCTCAATAAACAATGCCTTCTGCATGGGGTTTGTGTCAACTCAAATAACTGTATTTCCTTTCCATTATCTATTGTATAAATATGGTCTGGAAGTGTTTTCTTCTTCTCAACATAGACAGAAAAGAAAACTCCATGATAGCTTACCAGGATGCAATTTCATTGATTTTTTAATTTACGTATATCCAAATTTTTAAAAAAAGGATGAAAATGTTTTTTTTCTATGCTTATTTTCTATATACAAATTCATAAAATTTGCTTTAAAAATATTTTCTACCTCATAAAGCAAAAATACAAATCCACCATTTTGAATTCAAGATTGTTTGTTTTAAATTTCGCGCAAAGTTACACGAGGACTATCTGCGCTAGCCGTCCCTAATTTAGCAGTGTAAGACTAGAGGGAAGGCAGCTAGTCATCATCACCCACCGCTAATTCTTGGGCTACTCATTTACCAACGAATAGTGGGATTGACCGTCACATTATAACACCCCCACGGCTGAAAGAGCGAGCATCTTTGGTGTAACGGGGATTCGAACCCACGACCCTTAGATTGCGAGTCGAGCGCCCTAACCACCTGGCCATGCCGGGCCTTTGAATTCCAATGGCTGACATAACAAACACCTTTTGTAAATTGTAACTGTAGAGCTTTTAGTTTTATTATCTTGAAGTTGTAAGTAACCTAACTGTAACAATACACACAAATTTCTAAGAATATTTATAATTAGAGTTAGAAGCTGATACTTACTTTAAGGACCTTTAAAAAGTTAAACTTTTAATGTTGTAGATCAAAACTGAAATGGAAAGAAATCGCATAACGTATAAGGATAAATATGGAATATCTTGTCTAGTTTTTAAAGGTTGTTAAACAAATATACTGGATAAAACAATAACGAAACTAGCTTCTTATCATCTACAGTATGTGTGCATAACATATGTATATAAATCAGTATTTGTTATTATGATAGCGTTTTGATTTCTTATAAGTATTTTGGTCGATTTTACTGTCCCAAAGAAACAAACATATGACTGTCATCAGTGTAACAAAAAACTACAATAACAGGGATTTTTCTATTATTGGCGGAGTGAAGTCTTTCAAAATTATTGTGGATTGCAATTGATTAGTTTTTCGATAGATGGCAGCAGCTTACCAGATATTCATTGTTTGATAAGTATAAAATGCCAATATATAAATAACGCTGTTTTTAAATAGGTACGTTCGAAACACGCTGATACAGAACAAGCATGGAATATCAAACCATCCATACCAAACCTAGATGTCATTGAAAGTGGAAGTGACTACAACACAACACAGTCCAGCCTAGACAGCAAAAGTTTCCGGAACAAATCTTACGAAAAGTCAAAAAGCGGAACGCTGGACAGAGTGTCAAGAGTTGTATTTCCGTTTATATTTTCCAGTTTTGTCACGGTTTATTGGGGCTACTTCTTAACCAAAGTGGAAGTGGGTTTTTCTGATACTAATGCCTCTCTTAGTAATGTCGAATGGTAACTTCTTATTTCTTTAAGTTCGTTTGACTGTCTTCACAACCCTGACAGAACATCCGGACATGTAAGGAAATAACCAACCAAACCTCCCTAGTGGTGTTAACTATATAAGTACATCTAATATTTACTTCCTTGGCTAAGAATGTATATTAGTTTAGTAGCTGTGTAATATACTCTTTTCTGAATGTCTTTTCGCTACTGTCGCCTATACATCACGTTAAGTCATTTCGGACATTCAGTAGGAACACATTTGTTTCATCAACTCATAAATCCTCATATTTAACTATTTCCACATTTTATATATACATTTGATGCGATTGGCTCGCTCTCGTAATCTGCATGGCAACGTGTTGATTAATGGATAATTAGAGAACGTCTTTAGCGATTGTCCAGAAATAATTGTGTTCTTTTTGTAAAACACACAATGGGTGTTTTTGCCTACAGAACAAATTGAACCCCGAATTTTTGCGTTATAAGTTACGAAGTCTCTGCGAGTGGAGGGGTACAAAGAATTTGTAAAGATAGGGTTAAATAGAGCTCCTCCTTAATAGTTGGTCAAACTGTTGGTAACTAAAACGCGTCCTTAACTGTTCAGGAGGTCGATAATTTGGAAGACTCACAACCTTAAAATCCGGGGTTCGATTATCCGTAGTGAAGAGAGTGTAGGTAGCTATTATTTAGCTTTGCGCTATAACAAACATACTTTATTTAGCTTTGCGCTATAACAAACATACTTTATTTAGCTTTGCGCTATAACAAACATACTTTATTTAGCTTTGCGCTATAACAAACATACTTTATTTAGCTCTGCGCTATAACAAACATACTTTATTTAGCTTTGCGCTATAACAAACATACTTTATTTAGCTTTGCGCTATAACAAACATACTTAAGACATGGTGGAGTTTGGGGCGTTATAATGTGACCGGTCAATCCCACTATTCGTTGGT